ATAAAATGAGGGTGACAACATTTGAAGGGAAGATTTCTCCATTCCCTCCTTGTATCAGTAAAAGGATCCAGTGTTTTATTTTTGAAGCCTAGAACTTCTTTATTAAAAAAAAAAAAAAAAAAAGTTGACCTAAAATTGTTAAGAGCAGGCATGGACATAGGTCTACCAGTTGAATTGTCCATGAGAGCAATTTGACTGTGAACAAATAACTGTGGTTGCCCCTGTGTGACAGCAAGTTGTCTTTTGTCTTTCTTCAGAAAGACAGAAGCTGCTAAGAAGTTTAGGTTCTAAAATAGGCAGTTTAGTCTGAGGATTTCTCAAAGTGCAGGAATCATCACATAAACACTACATGTCGAATCATCTCAGAGTTGTGGCTGTTCTCTCTTCGGGAATTGGTCCACCGGGTAAAATTCCAGTGGTTCATATGCTTTCAATGGTCATTTCTGAGGATGGCACATGAAGAAAGGAAAAGGGAAAGAAGAGCTATACCTCGTGCGTGTGAGTTTGGGACCCGTTGGCCAACAGGGGTGTCACTCCCTGGGAATACAAGTCCAGCATGTTTGCACTTGTTACTGTGTAGCTTTAATGACTTTTTTTTCTAATAGGGCTAATGTCTCTAAGCTTAGTGCTTAGAGCTGTTTCATATTTTACACTAGTTCCATGTCACTGTTCTAGTTATTCAAACCATTTTTTTACAGCCTCCTGGGTGGGTCATCTTAACTCTTGAATTGTACTATTTTGAGATGTTTTCATTCCAGAATGTACCAAAAAGTGCACAGGTGAAGGCAATTTACAGCAAAAATAAAAATAAATAGCTTATTTCATTTGACTTTATATACACAGATAAGCAGGAACCTGTTTAACTCATTACTTTGCTTGATGTGTCATATTTTTTGACTGAAAATTAATAGAAGTTGTTCCTCTAAGAGGGTCTTTTAGAGGCGGGAGAATGGGATAGCATCATACTGGCATCATCATAAATTCTGTATGCCAGGGTGGCGTGAAGTCAGCTTTTTATAGTTGAAATACAATTTTTTATTCACCACTATCTGCACAAATTCTTGAAAATAAAATTTCTTTCCCTACCGTTTTTGTCCATTTTATTTGTCACACGCTGAAGTTATTGAACTTTGTTCCATATTCCCTTAGTATACCTTTCTACTTTAAATAAATTGATACCATCATTTGTGTTGACCCCTATGAATGTATCATAGTTCAGGGTCTATGAGAACTCCTTTGGGGGAAGCTGATATACAGTATATACCAGCTTATATTGTATATATCAACATATATATGAATATATATTATATATATATGTAAATTTTGAGGTGTATCAAGGTAGATTATTCTCCCCAATACATTTTACCTACTACTGCTATTAAAATATAAGTATTGATGTTTCTCATCGATGTTTCTAACCCTTTCCCATCCTCTCTGTAGAAATATATTTTAAAAAATAATAAAATAAAATATAAGTATCATCTGCCCTTACCAGCCATAAACTTCATTCAAATGATATTATCAGGTTAACCAGCCACACACATAGAAAACCCTTGAGCCAATGGGATTCCGACACATTCGTTAGATGCCTTCCCCTATGTGTTTATCCCAACTGCATGGTAAGGCTGGCAAAAGTATAAATTATAACTTCACTAATCATTTCTACCAGTGTCCAGAAATCTGATTTGCATCACCCCTATCTTCTTCCCCCCGCCCCCATACCTATTTTACTGAAAAGGAAGAAGAGCCTGGCTGGCATGGCTCTATGGTCAAGGATTGACCGGTGAACCAGGAGTCATGAGTTCGATTCCCGGTCAAGGGCACATACCTAGGTGCTCTGATTGTAAAAGGAACTAATTCTACTCATAATCGTGTGTTTTTCACTTTAATCATTCTGAAGTTTGAAGGTCTGATGTGTTTTAATGGATATGAAAGTAAACACGTTCAACAATATGACTGTCACAGCATCAAGTGCTGGGGAGCAAGAGGCTCCGAGGACAAAGATATGCCTTCCTCCCTTCACTCATTTCACAGGTATTCTGATACCTAATCCAGTCTCTCCCTTTGGTAGAAGGATGTGAAGGGAGAAGGCACTCCTGGGGAAGCTGAGGGTCAAACCAGGATTTGCCTTCTCCCTGGGAAAGGAATCATTCACCTATTTCTGAGATTGAATCGTCCTATATCCATAACTGGGGATCAAAGGTCAAAGAAAAACTACAGATATGAATATAAATATGTAGCTGCACAAAGATCAAAACTCAGTATTATGAGCATTTGTCCCGCCTGTCCCTGCGACCTGGCTTCCCCTCCGAGCCGCCAGAGGGCAGCAAAGCACGCTCTCGAGGAGGGCCCGTGCTCGGTGGTTCCTCCCAGAATTCTCCGCGGAGGGGTTGGGGGGAGGGGCAGAGGCGTTTAAAAGGGGGTGCGGACTTCCGGCCCCTCACGGGAGGGAGAGCGGCCTGGGGTGAGGTTGCCGTGCGTGGTGCTGCGGTGTCGCGTGGATGGCGCGAGCGGGCCGAGGATGTGTGTGGGTGTGTGGGTGTGAGCGTGCGTGGGGCGTGCAAGGCGAGTGCGTGACACCCCCCTACGGCCCTCCCCCCGTCTACACGTTGATCTTATTTGATCGGGTCGTGACCCCCGCCCCGCCGGGCCGGCCCGAGATGAAAAGCCCCCCTCCTGCGAAGCCCGCGCGGGCGCTGTGCAGCGAGGCCCCCGGGCGGCGGCGGCGCCGCGGCCCCGGAGCCGATCCGCGGGCCCGGCGCTCAGAAATGATGAATTGATCAGATAGACGAGGCCGGGCTTGTCCCGGCCGCTGATTATCGAGGCGATTCTGATCTGAGCCCGGCCCCGGGGCGGCCGCCCGCGGTGTGGCCGACGCCGAGGTGGTGGGCGGCGGGCCCGGGCCCCGACGGGAGGGCGAGGGTGTGAGCCGCCTCCCCGGAGCGCCTCGTCATCATGACTGCGCCCCACAGAGCCTGCTGCTCAGGCGGAGGTTGATACATACATATCTGTATGCACATACGGCTCCATAAGAACTTGGACTTACACAGATCCCAGGGACCCGCCCCAGGTTTACTTAACCAGAATATATCCTCACTTGATCTTTTTTTAATGATTTGGAGAGAGAAAGGGAGAAAAATACCGATGAGTTGCCTCCTGTATGTGCCCCAACCCAGGATGAAACCCACAATCTAAGTATGTGCCCTGACTTGGAGCCTGAGACCTTTTGGTGTAGGGAACTGTTCCGATCAGCTAGCTGAGCCACCGGGCAGGGCTAGAAATATATATATATATATATATATTTATATATATATATATATATATATATATATATATATATATATATATATATATATATATTTTTTTTTTTTTTTTTTTTTTTTTTTTTTAATTCTCAGTGGAGGGTATTTCCCTACGATTTTGGGGGAGATGGAAGGGAGGGAGAGAAATATCAATATGTACACATTGATTGGTTGTCTCCTGCTCACACTATGATTGAGCCTGCAACTGAGGTATGTGCTCTTGACCAGAATTGAACCTGGGACCCTTCAGTCCAAGGGCCGACACTCCACTGAGCCAAACCAGGGAGAGCTAAAAGCCTCTATGCATGGATTACAGTAATCAATTTTTTATATATATTTTATTGATTTTACACAGAGGAATTGAGAGGGACAGAGAGTTAGAAACGTCGATGAGAGAGAAACACCGACCAGCTGCCTCTTGCACATCCCCCAGTGGGGATGTGCCTGAAACCAAGGTACATGCCCTTGACCGGAATCGTACCTGGGACCTTTCAGTCCACAGGCCAACGCTCTATCCACTTAGCCAAACCGGTCCCGGATACAGTAATCAATTTTTCAATGATCAGTATCAACCTGCATGAGGTGACTAACCATTTTCAGCCATTCTAAATAACTGGCACTTTGCACCAGATACACGATCTCAATAGTGGAAGAGGTGCCCAGCCTGTGTGGCAAGGTGGTTGAGCATGGACCCAAGCACCAGGAGGTCACGCTTGGATTCTTGGTCAGAGCACATGCTCCAGTTGCTCCATCCCCAGTAAGGGGCGTGCAGGAATCTGCCCTTTCTCTGAAAGCAGTAAACACTTTTTAAAAATAGTGGAAGAAAGGCTGTGATTGGTGGTATTTTAAGGACCATGCACTTGAGTATCAGGAAGAAGCCTTTTCCTATTTGCTGTTCAACAAGGCCAAAAATAAAAGCACAGGAAAGGAAGCTGTAAAATGCCCCCCCCCCCCCCCCACCGCGCCTAAAAAAACACACACACAAAAACAATGCCAAACTTCTGTACCATAGTCCAGGTCTGCCATTTCTTGCCCAATCTAACAGCAGGTTCCTGTGACTTGTAACTTTAGAGACCACAGTGCACTGTTTTTAGGTTGCTTCAAACCCAAGCACCAAATTTTTTAAAGTATATTTTTATTGATTTCAGAAAGGAGAGGAGGGGGAGAGAGAGAAAAAAACAGCAATGATGAGAGGGAATCATTGATTGGTTGCCTCCTGCATGTTGGACTGAGCCTGCAACCCAGGCATATGCCCTTGACCAGAATCAAACCTGAGACCCGTGAGTCCCCAGCTGATGTTCTATCCACTGAGCCACCCTGGTTAGGGCTCAAGCACCAGATTTTTTTTGAACCAATGTTTATAAGGATTAGGGGTAGATATCAGCACACACATACACAGGCAAGGGAACTGACTCCCAACAAGAAGATGGTATAGCCAAAACCGGTTTGGCTCTGGATAGAGCATCGGTCTGCGGACTGAAAGGTCCCAGGTTTGATTCCGATCAAGGGCATGTACCTTGGTTGCAGTGGCAACGCCAGTAGGGGGTGTGCAGGAGGCAGCTGATCGATGATTCTCTCTCGTCGATGTTTCTAACTCTCTATCCCTCTCTCTTCCTCTCTGTAAAATACCAATAAAATATATATATATAAAAAAAAAGTAGTCTAGCGGCAACTCTATGGGTAACAGACACTTCAGGCTTCACCGTGCACAAATGTTTTTAATGGAGGTGGGCAGCAGGCTGTCCCATCGATTAATCAATCCGGGGGCCTGTCAGCATCAGGTGGAGAAGAAGCCACCGTCCGTCTTGCGGGAGTAGCCTCCGTTGGTGGCTGCAGAGTGAGGGGACACTGGAGAAAAGGGAGCCGGCTGTGAATTTCACTGGGAACCTGTAGCCACCCATCCACTTACGGGGGCTAGAGAAGGCTCTATGACAGCCGGGGAACTGGCATATAGAACACAGACAGGAGGTAGCTATAGGTCTTCCACACCCAGGTTTCTGCTGGAAATTTGTGCACTAGACCCAAGGCTGAGTTAGAGGCTCGGAAAAATGGAATTCATTCCATAGTCAGCACGCATGTCCCCTGATGTGTCTGATATGTGACAACTTAATCACTGCTGTTACCAGACCCTCAGGCCCACCGCCCCCCACCCCCCCAGTCCCTCCTAGCCCATCACCTCCATCCCTGAGTCCTGGTCCATTTAGAACTTGTACTGTCACTTACCTATGGAGCCCTGGATGCTGTAGATGGACTCCCGCTTAGGGCTGATCCACTGTCTGATGTCAGCTCGGGAAGTGATGGGCGGTGGCGGGGCAGGGGGTAAGTGTTCTCCAGGGGGTTGGATTTTGATGATCCTAGAGGATGGGTGTGGGGAAGAACGGGGAGAATGAAGCCCAGCAGGAGAAAGGTGCGGAGGGAAAGAATTACATTCAGCCTCCAAAATAAAACAGCCCAAGGCCCTTTTTACACTCTGGAATGAACCGAAGATTTTGATGGTTTATACCACATGTGTCAAACACAAGGCCCGCGGGCCAAATCCGTCCTGCCAGGCCTTGCAATGTGGCCCGCACCACGCTGTCATCACTGCACTCCGCTGCGTTTCCATCACAATGACAGTTTATGACTGTTCAGTAAACCATTCGGCCCGCGATTTAGGCTGGATTTTAGATTTTGGCCCCTTCTCTGATTGAGTTCGACACCCCTAGTTTATACAGATAAAAACAGGAAGTTCTCTGTTCATTTCAGATAATAAAAATACAGAAAAAGCAAACAAACAAGTGTTGGTGAGGATGTGGAGAAAAGGGAAGGAACCCTTGTTCACTGTTGGTAGGAATGTAGGCTGATATAGCCACTGTGGAAAGCGGTATGAGAGTTACCTCAAAAAGTTAAAAGAGAACTGTCTTACCACCCGGCAATTCCACTTCTGGGAATTTGTCTGAAGAAACCCAAAACACTAATTCAAAAGAATGCTCCCCTATCTTCACCGCAGCATTATTTACAATAGCCAAGATTTGGAAGCAGCCCGTGTCCATCAGAAGATAAATGCATAAAACAGCTACGGTACATTCACAAAATAGAATACTTCCCGGCCATAAAAAGGAAGAAAAGTTTGTATTTTTTTGGACTGCATGGATGGATGGATCTGGAGGACATTATGCTAGGTGAAACAAGATAGAAAAAGGTAAGTACCTGTTGGCAGTTATTTCCCACGTGGCCTTTACCTTACTTAATGGATGGCATTACCCTTGGGATGGGGAGGCCCTGCCTCCACCACTTACCGGTGGATGTCCTTAGAGGTCTCCCTGTGGATCAGGGCCTCGTTTATGTTCTTGAACGCCCCCGTGTGGTGGTTGTACAAGGCAGCTAAGCGGAAATCCAGATTATCCTTCGGGATAACCTACAGAGGAAGTTAAGCCCCCCAGGGTTAATGCACCACCTCTACTCCCTTTCCCGCCTTCCTCTAGTCAAGTTCTGTTGGGCTCTACTCTTCCCCATACGCAGAGTGAATCCCTTTTGGGCCTGGAGCCACCAATTCCTTACACCAACTTGTACATGGTGACTCTTGTCAATAAGGAATTGTCTCTCAAGGAGTAGTGAGCTCCCCTTGTAAATATGGAAATCACTATACTGTCCCCAATTTGGGCTCACCAAGCCTTAACTTTGTTCATGGTTATATTCAATCTTTGTTTTAATCGGAAGAGTGAGAAGTCCGGGGTGAAAATGACTTGCTTCAGATAACTGACTAGAGCAGAACGCAGGCCTCTGACTTCCCAGAGCCCAGGTAAATTGGAATTTAGTTTTCAATTTGGTAGGAACTTGGATTGAGGACAAAGGAAAGATACTAAAGAAGTCAGGAACGGACTTCCTTTCAAAGAGGATACTGATGAGTTCTAATTGGACGTAGAGAAATAGTATTTCAATAGCAGGTACCTCAGAGTCAAAAAAAAAAGTATTCCGCCTAATGGAGGTGATGGTGGGAACTGAGTTGAGCCGATTCCAGGGTCCCCGCTGCTGATCAAGGTGAGCTGGGTTCTTATGCGTCAGGATCTGCAAAAGGAAAACCGCCCAAGGAACTGGTTACCTGGATACAGGTCCTTGCTGCTATGGTAGCTTCAGTGACATTCACCCCTTCATCCTATTTTAATTGAATCTCAAAGCAACATCAGTCAAGAGAGGAGCAATATCGGGCAACACGCCCCGGGCTTTTGATCCTCCTAAGTCTTCAATCTTAGAATTGACAGAAAGAGTCTACCGAGCCAGACTCTTCAAGAGTCACATTTAGCCGAGACCGGTTTGGCTCAATGGATAGAGCGTCGGCTTGGGGACTGAAGGGTCCCGGGTTCGATTCCGGTCAAGGGCATGTACCTTGGTTGCGGGCATATCCCCAGTAGGGGGTGTGCAAGAGGCAGCTGATCGATGACTCTCTCTCTCATCAATGTTTCTAACTCTCTATCTCTCTCCCTTCCTCTCTGTACAAAATCAATAAAATATATTTAAAAAAAAAGAGTCACATTTACTATCTTTACTTCTTCCTTCTCCCCCTCCCCATCCCCTTTTCAGCCTGGCCTCTGCCTCAAGCACCCCCTGAAACCACTCTTGCTGGTGATCAATGGTTTTTGAGGCTAGGTGGAGTAGATCCTTTCCAGACCTGATCTTATCTGACCTCTGCAGTTTTCTGGCACCATGATGCTGACACTCTGAAACGTTCTCTCAACCCTCTGTGGGTCCGGCTTCTCCGAATCTCCTCCTGTCTTGAACTGTTGCTTCTCAGCTCTGTGTGGCATTCCCAGGGCGTTTCGTTTCTGCTCCCCTTACTCTCACATTTGCTGGATGAGCTCATTCCTCCCCGTGGCTCCAGCCACCAGATGGGCATTGTGGTTTCCAGATGTACATCTTCAACTCAGGACTCTCAACCACACTTACATGTCCCACAGGCACCACAAAAGCGACGTCTACATGATTGATCGGAATCTCTCTCCCCAACCCAGCTAACCCTGGATGCCTCATTCAGTAAATGGTACCCATTAAGCCCTCAGGAACCCAGGAGTCACCACAGACTCATCCGCTCTCTCAGGCTCATATCCAGTCAGCCACAGAGTCCCATCAGTCCTGCCCTCTGCATCCCTCTTATCTGCACCTTATTGCCACCCCCTGCATCACTGCCTTAGGCCCATTATTCTTCCTCCTGGAGGTTGCTGCCTCTGGAGACTCCCACCTCCTAGCTGATCCCTCCTGTCTCACTCCCACCCTGTCCAATCCACTGCCGCCCGTGCTTTCTGAAACACCATCCGCTGTGTCGCTCTAGTGCTTACAACCCTGAGGTGATTCCCAGAACCTCCAGGATGGAATCCTAGCTCAGGGGCATGGTGTACACAGCACACCCAGCCCCGGGAGATCCCTCTCCAGCTTCTGCTCTCTCCGCTCCTCCACCTCCTTGGCCCCAAACAGGTCACACTTTCTCCCCTTTTCAGGGGTATGAGCACCTCATGCTTCCTTTGTCTTGCTGGTGACCAATGTCTGGCTCCTGTTTCTTTCTTCCCAACTCACATTTCACCTCCTCCCTCCCCTGGCCCAGCTCACTCATATTTTGATGTCAAAACTCCCCCGCTTCCTTTTTAGCTCCCAGTGCTCCTGACACACTCCGTATAACTCACAACACACACGCTACTGTGCAGCATAGTTTCTTTAGAGCAGGTGCTATTCGTAATACGTCTATATCTACAGCTGCTAATCTATAGCTCCTCAGTGTTTAGTGGTACCTGGCATAGAGTAAATAATAAATGATAAATTAAACCCAAAGAAGCTCTCTGATTGTATTATTAAGCCACAATGGCTATTGAATTCTCCTTAGTTTGCGCCACTTCAGACATTGCGGCCACTTCTATTAGAAAGAGGATCATACACACATTCCAGTATCAACCAGGGAACAGAGACGGTGTGAAAACACATGACCCGGTGGCTTTCAGAGGGCTTCCTCCCCCTCCGTATTGCACAGCCTCTTAGAGGACCGTCTTCCCACAGATGCAAAGGGTGGGCGACCCCTGGGCCCGCTTCAGCCCCATTACACCAGTGTGCTTCGGGGAGAGCCCCTGGTTTCTCTGGTCTAGAGCTCTCCTCTCTTTGCTCAAAAGCACCCCTGAAACGTTAGCCGACCCGAACATGGGGGCATGGACGCAGGCAGGAAACCAACTTATCCAGGACCTCCGGTCCTCAGCAGGGCCCTTCAAGTCCCCCCTCATGACAGAAAGAGTGCCAGCGGCCCCACGAGGCCTGCACAAGAAGCCCCAGTACCTTAGGAGCCCCGGCTTTCCCCGGGAGGGAATCATCGTTGTTCAGCATAGGCTGCTGGAAAGGGTCTCGGGTGGGAGGCATGGTAAAATGAGAAGCTCCTGGGAGGAACGGGTGGCCGGCGCAGTCGCACACAACCCTGTACGCAGAGGCTCGGGGTCCCAATTGTTTGGAAGGCCCACCTTCGGTTGCCAGGCAACTGCCCCACCATCTATGACAGGTGAATGCCTATCAAGAAAGGCGCCACCTGGAGGTCCAACGTGGGAGGGCCCATAGGAGGGAGCTACTGGGAACACAGAGGCAAAGAGCCGCTGACCCTACCCCCAGGAGCCCTGGATTTGCCCTCCTGAACCTCAGGTGGAGAAAAGAGGCCTCCTGGCACGCAGGATGAATGCAAAAAGACCTCAGCTGGCAAACAGAATCCTGAAAGACGACCCAGAGATTCTCTTCTCCCCCGCATCTAACAAAAGGATTTTTCAAAGCAGCAAGAGAACGGGGATGTCCCAGAGACGGAAGAGCACACGTGTCGCGCTTGGAAAACTGCCGCCTTAAGCAAACACTCCTTGCTTCAACCCGGTTTAACTATATGAGTCTCAAGGCTTCGCATCAAGCCGGTCGTGAAGGCCCAGACGGATGTGGAGGGATGGATGCGGAGCGGCTGGCTGCCTTTGCAGTAGGTGACACCTTCTGTCACTTCTAGAAGAGGGACGACGTCTCCATCTTCTTCCTAGCGCTTTTTACACTCGGGAAGGGCTCAGTATTTGTCCTCAGCCACGTCTGCAGAATCAGAGGTGCTCACAGTGCACGGAAGGGCAGAGGGAAACCTGAACTCGGTGGCGACGGCTGGGAGATGCTTCCGCCGCGTTCTTTACTCGCCCCTGGTCCCCGGCGCGCGCGCACTTCCACGCGGCGCGCGCCGGCAGCGACGGCTGCCATGGCGACCGGCAGGTGAGCGGCGGCGCATCGCGCGGTCCCTACCCGACACGCGCGGGGGAAAGAGAAGGCGGTTGACAAGGCGACGTGGGTAGGAGGAGACGAGGAAGGAGGGAGGAGGAAGGATGGGCAGCTTTGGCGTGGCGGCCCGGAGGTGACTGGAGTGAGCCCAGCCCCTCGCATCCTCCCCCTAGGATCCTCCCTCCCCTTTTATTCCGCCTTCTGCCAGCGGGAGCCGTAGCCGCAGCACCTGAGTCGCGGCCGCCGCCAGCTCAGGACGACGCTATGGCCGATGCGGGGCGCAGCCTCCATCCCTCTGCCGGGGGCAGGGGAAGAGCGGGGCGGCGCACGCTCCGGCTCCTGCGGCTGCTGCTCTGGGTCGGGACCGCCTTCCAGGTGACCCAGGGAGGCGAACCGGAGCTCCACGCCTGCAAAGAGGTACTGTCCTCCCGGACCCGACCCCACTTTGGTCAGAAACAGCTTGGACCCTGGTGGAGACCTTGGGGACCTAGGCACAGTTTCAGAGGCCACGGAGTTTAGTTTTTTTGGGTGAAGATGGGGGAGGAAGGAAGAGGAGCAGACCGGCTGATGGAGAGGCCAGCCCACTGGAGGGCTCACAGTCTGGGCAGGGAGCTGGGGAGAAAGGTCCACCATCTGGGACCTGGGCTCCTGGGCTCCGGACTCTGGATTACAGGGAGAGGACCTGAGCTGTTTTCTTCTGGGATGAAATGACCTTAGAAGTGATTGAGAATAAAAGATGATGTATGTACTGAGTGGTGACATAGAAAGTGGGCAAGGGGAGAAGTGGGGTGGGGAGGAAGTTAGGAAGGCCGCAGGTAAGGAGCGGATGGGAGTCCTTGGGCTTCTACCGTGGCCTCAGAGGGTGTGTGGAAAGCGGAGACATGCGAGCGGCACTCACAGGTCTCGTCCCCTCTCCCCGCTCCTATCCGGAACCCAGTCACCTTGCTGGCTGCTGGAGGTAGAGCCTCTTTGTAGCTTTGCTTCCCCCTGCACATGGCTTAGTGTACCTGGCCGCACATGGCCCGCCTGTGGCCAGACTGAGTTCTGTGACATCTCACTTTCCGCTAATCTCCACTGTCCTTCTCCGACTTGCCTGACAGGTCATACGCCAAGGTGCTTCCAAAATGTTGTCAACCTATTTCAGACAATAGGTAGTGAATGCCTTTCTGCCAAAGGTGCCTTTTGAATATTTGTTTGGATAGGTGCAAAAAGATGTTAAGGAGTAATCAAACCCAGTCATTTCTATAATATTGAAACAATATTTGGTTGTGCTCTGAGTAACTTTTTTTTTTTTTAACCATATGGCAGAGGCAGCAACAAATATTTATAAGAACTGCATTGGGGAAGGCAAAACAAACGTCGTCCCTTAATTTCTGAGAAATGTGAAAGACTTCATAATATATCTATGCAAAAATAATCCAAGATGTCACCCGTGGCTAAGGTTCTGAGAAGTTGAAATGTTGTTGTTGCTGTTCCACTTATTTATGCATTTATTGGTTGCGTCTTGTATATGCTCTGAGCGGGGATCAAACCTGCTACCTTGGCGTATCAGGAAGAGAAGTTGAAACATTTTTTTAAAAAGTTATCAGTATGAATTGGTTAGCAACCACAACCCCACCACCTATGGAAATATAGTATTTATGATGTTCTAACTATAGACAGTCTACAACATAACAGATCGTGAAAAAGTAAGGAGGGAGAGAGGAGAGCATTTCTGTATGAGTACAGATGAATACGACACAAGTGAGTGGGATTTTTGAAAATGTTTATCAATCCCAAGGACTTCCAGCCCTGGGCCATCCCATGTCCACCCAGCCACTTTCTCTCCTGTTTAAGATACAGTGGGATGATTTTGTCCGTGACTGTGGCTTACTGGCCGTGGTGGCTTATGGTCTTGAACCAGCTAAGTTAAACAGATCCAACAAGCCCACTTGCCTAAGAATCCAACATGGGAGTCTCCTGAGTGGAAGGTAAGAATCTTACAGTTCAACTGCCACTGCTTGTTGAGATCCTTGCCAACTGTGCAAATTGCAGACATTTAAGAGGTTTAACATTTTGTATCATTCTGGTTTGGAGGCAGGGACGAATACTGATGCTTGAGAACTCTAACTGCGGTTACACATTTGGCCTTTAGTCCTTTTGAATGATTGACATTTGTCTAAGCGAAAGATCTTGCCACAGAGAGTGAGCTTAGGGCAAAGTTGTGGGACTCAATATTTCAGTGCTCCAGCCCCTGCCCGTGACTTCCCACCCAGGTTTTGGATCTGCAGAATGGGTGTTTCAGTAACACCCACCTCAGAAAGGATTCTTTGAGGGTTGAAAGGAAAACGTACATAAAGCACACATTGGAGTTACCGAACCCCCTTTCCCAGTCAGCTGCTTTACAGTTCAATCCCCACCCAGGCCGGAGTGGAAGTGGCTCAGGGCTCAGGCTCATTAGTCACGGGAGTCGGCAGGTCCTGTTTGCACTCCCTGAGCAAACAGTGGCGGCAGAACACCTTCAACTCCAAAATAAGGAAGCGGATAAACTTATTAGCCTAACAGTCCTCGTTTGGCAATACTAACTGACCCAACTAGTTTCGGGGCTTCCAACCCAGAATGGTGAAAAACCAGTGCAGGGTAGACTAGTCCTTCTCTGTGCTGAATCTGCATATGAATTTTGTGAGACTGTGTTGGGACTCTTCTCAGGCCAAGGCTGGCCCTAATGATAACAGTGCTGCTCCAGCCTTGTTTCTGAAACCTGAGGTATCGCTCTGGATCTTGTCAGGGAACAGAGAGGTTTGGCTGGCAACCCACATGCTTTTCTTATAATACCTTCAACAGGGAAGTTCTAGATTTCTAACCCTGAGCTGGGGCTTGGCATACCTTCCACAGTTTTCCAATCATCAGGGCCACCAGTGGAGCTAAACATCCTGAATGGAGTTTGTCTTCATGAGTCATTTCTTTAGTCCTGTGTTGCCCAGGCTAAGTGCTGATTGAGAGCTCAAGGGCCGACCATTTCCTATAGCGCGATGAACCCAAATCAAATGCCAGAAGCAGAACATGGCTTTTAACAGATCTGCCTGGTCCTGAGGCTCCAGTGCTAACTGTCTCCAAATGGCCTTCCCAGTCTACATGGAAAAGCCCGGAGAGCTGAGGAATCCGGCAGACGTAGATTGGAATAAAATTAGTTGAGTGATCCCACTTCGTAAGGATGCTAGATGAGCAAGTAAATCAATTTCTGACAGCCTCAGATTACCAATCTGTAAAATGGGGATGGTAATACCCATCTCAGAGGCTGTTGTGAGGATTAAATTAGATAACACATGTTAAGTGCCTAGCACATAGTCTTGACATGCCATAGGTGCATAAGAAATAATGGTAGGAAGAAAAGATAAATAAGCAAATAATGACATACAAGTGACGAGATAAGGTTAACTGATGGCAAACAATGCAGGAGTGGCACGATAGAGGTTGCTAGGAAAAGAAGACTTATTTAAGCAGCTGGTACTTGACCTGGAATAATCTGGAATTTCAAAGGGTAGAGATGGAGGAAAGGTGCTTTCTAGACAGAAGGAGGAGCCTGAGGAAAGGTCCACAGGTAGGAAATACACTGAGTGGCCAGATTATTGTGATCTCTGAACACATAATAATATGACCACTCAGTGTATATCCTATATAATAAAAGGCTAATATGCAAATTGTCCCCTTAACCAGGAGTTCGACCAACAGGCAGGCCGGCCAACCACCCATGTCCCCTCCCCCTGGCCAGGCTGGCTGGACTCCACCCATGCATGAATTAATGCATTGGGCCAGATTATTATGCGTTCAGAGATCATAATAATCTGGCCACTCGGTGTATACAAGAGCCTGAGAACTGCAAGAAGACCGGTGGCTGGAATGTGGAGTGGGTGTGGGGTCCACCAGAAATCAAGGTTGGAGGGTCAGAACGAAGTGGAGAGTCCTGCTGAGAGTGGGTTAGCATGAGCACGAAGTAAACACGGCTGAGGCAGGCCGGAAACTGAGAGCAGACTCCTCTGGAACCATCAAGGTTGGATGTTTAAGACATCTTGCCATATTTGGTGAAGCGAGAAAATTAAAAATCTCCAATTGTCATGAAGAACTTACTCCAATTGGCAAGATGGAATGTTTTTGTTTACTACTAACAGGGTTAAAGAACAGCTTCTTGAGTTCTGAAGGCATTTAAGGAGGCATTTTGTCTATTCTCTTGGCTCAATGTAAGAGTATACTAAAACTCTGATAATTATCTGACTTTACGTAAAAAAAATTTTTTTAAATAACAAAAGTGACAGCTTTCATTTGCAGAAAAATTGGAAAATATAGGTAAATAAAAAGAAGATAGTAAAAATCACCTATAATCTTATCTAGAATTTTTTTTAAAAAAATGAATT